GATGATGATGATGTGCTGATGATGATGATGATGATGATGATGATGATGATGATGATGATGATGATGATGATGATGATGATGATGATGATGATGATGATGATGATGATGATGATGATGATGATGATGATGAGGAGGAGGAGGAGGAGGAGGAGGAGGAGGAGGAGGAGGAGGAGGAGGAGGAGGAGGTGTTCACTTGTCATGGCCTTCCTTTTCTGCATCGTTTCTCGACTTCCTTACCGAGGACGCTGCCAGCGAGTCACTGCCACCCTCTGGACGAGACGCCTGCAGAGAGCCTCGTGGGCTGGTCCTGTGACCTCTGTGAACGTCTTGACCTCCCAGGCAGTCTTGGAGGCCTCTTGGGGCCTTCTCGGGCCGTTCTGGGGTGTACTCTGCGGCCCACTTGGTGTTCGCCTCACTTCACCACCTCACTCCTTACACCTTTCCTCACCTCACCGCCTTTTTTCCTCGCCCCCACTGGCCACTTCCGCCATCACCTCCGTGTTTTCCCGCCCACCTCCAACCCCAGTTTTGCCTGCGCCTCAGTCTGAAGCACAGCCTCGATCTCGAGCTCAATTTCGGCGTCCTTTTCCATCCCTGATCGTCGCCGTCGTGCCTGCCGTTGCAGCGCCTCCGTCTTTGCGGCCTCTCCCCCTCCTCGGGCACGGTGGCGCTCTCCGCCCCTGCGCTGGCCTCGCGCGGGGGGCCCGCCTGCGTGCGGACGTGTAACTCCAAGGTTGAGCCGTTCTGGGGCTAGAACTGCTGCGGGGGAAAACAGCACTTACGCTCACTCTCCTCCAGCTTCGTGCTTCCACGTGCATTTCCACCTCTGTCCTCGCCCCTGCCTCCTGCCCCCCGCGTCGCCTCCCGTCGCCTCGGCTCGCCTCCCCTGGCCTCGCCGCCCATGACATCTCGCCGCACCTCATCCCCCCACTGCCACTCCCGCTTGCGGTTCCACCCGCTTCCTCCTCCTCCTCCTCCTCCTCCTCCTCGTCCTCCTGCTCGTCCTCCTCCTCGTCCTCTTCGCCCGAGCGACGGAGGAACACGGAGTCGACTGCGCGGACACTGGCGCGCAGGCTTCCCGCTCTCCTCCGTGCGGTGTGCCGCGCTGGCAGCCCGCGTGAGCCGCGGCGTAGGGCCGCCGGGACCCGTTCCATTTCGTCGCTCGCTTCGCGCCCTCTCGCTCGTGTTCGCCTCCCCTGCGTCCACGCCCTCGTCCTCGCCCTCGCCCTCGCCCGTGAGCCTTGCCCCCTCGCCCTCGCGCTCCCCTTGACGCCCGCGGCCGCCCCCGCCGTGGCGCTCACCGGGTCTCACCTTCCGTGCACTTCTGGTCTCCGCTTCTTCCTCCGGCTCCAGTTTCTCCACTTCCGCCTCCACTTCCACTTTCACCCCGTCTATCCGCAGCCCTTCTCACCTCACGTCGCCTCACTTCTTCATCTCATCTCCACCTCATCTTGGCTTAACGGACACCAGGCCAACTCAGGTCAGCTCCCCTCCCTCCACCTCCATCTCCATCTTTGGCTTCGTGACCACCTCCACCTCCAGCACCGACTCCACCTCCGCTCTGCCTCCACCCCAAGCTCTCCTCACCCCACCTCGCCTCGCCTCGCCCCACTTCTCTCCTCACATCTCGCCGTCCCCTCACCTTGCCCCAGCCGCCCCCCCATTCACCCCGCCCCCGCCCCCGCCCCCGCCCCCATTTCCGCCCCTGCAACCTTCCGTGTCGTTCCCTTGGCGAGGCTGCGCACCGTTCCGCCTGACCCCAGGGACTCGAGCAGCACGGTGGTGAGGACCAGCTTTTCTGCTTTCAGGGGCGGTCCCCTCCCACGAGCAGCGGACGACTGCGTTAGTTGAGTAAATTCTTCACGAGAGCTGACGGGAAAAGGGACGAAGAGACACATCTAGTGGAACAAAGCGAGCAAGCAGGGTGAACAGAGAGATCTCAAGGACTCTTTGAGGGGTCTTGGAGTTCTCTTGGAGCTCTTTTGGGGAGTCTCGGGGTGCTCTTGGGGCTCTCTTGGGGCCCTCTTGGAGCTCTCTGGGGGCTCTCTCGGGGGCCTCGTGGGATCCCTGGAGGGCCTCTTGGGGCTGTCGTGGAGAGTGTCGGTGAAAAGAGGGGGGTACTAACGTTTAGTCCCCCCTTCTGGGCCATCATAATAGCATCTTGGGACGGCCATTTTGGGGCTACCTTGACGCCTCAAAAACTCATCGGAAGCGAAACGGCGACAAGACACACATCATTGATTCTCCTCAGGTCTTTGAGAAGGATTTTGGCTTCTCGGGGAGGTCCTGATGGGTCTTTGAGGGCACCTGGAACCGTCTTGTGGCCCTCTTGCGGCGTCTTGGAGGCATGGTGGAGGTCATCTTGAGCGATCTCGCGCTATCTGGATCCCTCTTGGAGGCCATCTTGGAGCATCGGATGCCCTCTCGGAGCCACCTTGAGCGAAAAAGGGTCCTCTGAGGACTTGCGACCCCACGTTCAGACCCCTGGGATGGTACCCCTCCCCGAAGGGAAGATGGGGTTTTGGAAGAGGAGATGAAGATCTCGTCAGACCACCTGCGCCCAGAGAGGCTGGTGGGAGTCGGCGGCGAGAGGCAGTCAGGGCGGCCCAGTCCAGGGACAGGTTTGGCTGCGCCGTCGGGCTTCACGGTCGAGACCGATGGTAAGGAGGAGCGACCTCCCAAGGGTGCCCTTGGCATCCTTGCTTCCTCGGACCGTCCTTGACCACTCTCGACGGCCAGCCCCGCTCGAAGAGCCTCGACATGGGCGTCCACGGGGCTTACATCCTCACCGCGCATCCTTGCCATCACTTCTGACTGTATCCAGAGAGCCCTTGCCCCCTTACGTTCTGTGTCTGGTAGCCTGGCTACTGGTGCGGTGCACTCCCCCCATTGGCCCTTTGGGCATTCCATTCCATCAGTCTATTCCATTTCCACGTCCCACGTCCCACGACGACGACGACGACGGCGACGACGACGACGACGAGGACGATGACGTCGACGACGAGGACGAGGAGGAGCGACGACGACGAGGACGATGACGTCGACGACGAGGACGAGGAGGAGGACGACGACGACGAGGATGATGACGTCGACGACGAGGACGAGGACGAGGACGAGGACGAGGACGACGAGGATGATGACGTCGACGACGAGGACGAGGACGAGGACGAGGACGAGGACGACGACGACGACGACGTCGACGGCGACGACGACGACGACGAGGACGATGACGTCGACGACGAGGACGAGGACGAGGACGACGAGGACGAGGACGACGAGGACGAGGACGACGACGAGAGGACGAGGACGACGACGACGCCGACGACGACGACGACGCCGACGACGACGACGACGACGAGGACGACGACGAGGACGACGACGACGACGACACCTCCCCCTTCCAACCCTGCGGGCGTCTCCGCTCGTCTCCGCTCGTCTCCGCCTCCGCCTCCGCCTCCGCCTCCGCCTCCGCCTCTGTCCGAGCGCACCTCCCGCCTGCGCCTCCGCCTCGGCTGCTGCCCCGGCCACCGTCGCGCACGCCCACCCCTTCCTCGACAGCCAACCCCCGCTCTCCCCTGGCCTCCTGCCCGCCCCCAGGGCCCGCGACGCCGCGATTTCCCACGCCGACCCCCGGAGGTCTCGACCCCTTCCCCGGCGCGGGCTCTTCATCTCGCCCCGAGGGCCATCAGAGGCCGAAGCCAGCAAAGCCGCCGTGCCCTGGCTGCAACCCCCGAGGGGGGCCACGGCCGCCCAGACCTCCAGCCCGCCTCGGCCCGCCTACGCCTCGGTGGAGGCACCGTGCGGGAAGTTCCGCACGGGCCAGAGCCCGGGCCCTGCGACGCGGCGCCCGCTGCGCCGAGAGCTCGCAGCAGGTGCAGCGTGGACAGGGCCGGCTCGGCCGCCCGCGCAGCGCTGAAGCCCTTCCGAGGCATCCGTCCCCGAGATCCCGGCGTCGCATTGTTGTCCCACCGGGCGATTCCGCCGCGCCGCCGCGCGCGTGGCGCGCGGCGCCAAAACTGTTGCCATTTTCTTGAATCCACCCACGGGATAACACATGTTATCCCCCCCCCCCTGCCGCCCCTCCCCGTTAACAGTAACGCCCTGCCCCGGTCCAGTGCGCGATCCCGGGCAGCCTAGGGCCTGTGGTGCACGCGGGCTTTACTGGTGCCGCGGTGCACGCGGGCGTGCACGATGGTGTACGCAGGCGCTGCGGTGAACACCGGCGTTGTGGCGTACACAACTGTCGTTGCAGCAGCAGCTCTGGTGTACACAGGCATTGTGGGTGTACGCAAGCATTGTGGTGTACACATCACAAGCCCTGTGGTATACACAGGCGCCGTGATGTACACAATCGCTGTAGTGCGCAAACTCTCTATGATGTAAGCGTGCATTGTGGGCTATGATGTACCCACGCATCTCTTCCTACTTCTTCCTCTTCCTCCCTCTTCTCCCTCTTCATTTTCGTCCTCCTCGTCGTCGTCCTCTTGCGCATACAGGACGCGGGCATTGTGGTGTACACAAGCATTGTGGTGCACGCAGGCCTTGTGGTGCACACAGGCGTTGTGTTTCACATTCGCTGTGGGCTCAAAATGTCCGACCGTTCCTCGGGCAAGAAAATTTAATGCATAATCACAATCGGATCACATATTGAGTCTATCACATTCGGGCCCCCAGCGATTTCCCGGACTTTGGCTCCGTCGGGGCCGTAGAGGTGTACATGCTGTTAGATGACGGAATGCATCTTGGCAGTGCTCTTAGAAAAAGAGCGCTGGGCCCGAGCTGTCGACCCCATGGTGGGGTTCCTTTTGCTCTTCCTGCTGTTCCTCCTGCTTCTCCTACGTGTATTCCCTCAGCTGACGCCGCTCCGCGCGCCCCCAAGCCGCGTGGTGTTCACGGGCGCCGCGGTGGGCGCAGTTGCAATGACGTGCACAATCGTTGTGGCGTGCACAGGCGTTATGGGCCGAAAGTATCCGAGCGTTCCTTGGCCCAGAATAGCAAGTAATCACAATCAGCTCACATATTGAATTTTATACGTTCGGGCCTCCGTAGCCATTTTGGCTCAAGATCGGTCGAGGCATTTTTGTATCAATTCGTAGTACAGGCGATGCAGTAACCTCTTGCTCGGTGCACTTGCGCGCCATGTCAGTGGACGTATGATAACGCCAACGCCGTCACGTATGCTGATTTATAGTCGCAGGGTCATACTCGGTTTGATCGAACTGTCCATTCCATCCATTCCATTATCCAAGCCAGTATTAGTTTCTCGGCAGAGCTCGACTAAATCAAAATACGTTCCATTGGTGAGCTCCTACGGGCGGATCAGGGCTGCAAATGGCATCATCAGTATGGGCTCTTGCGCAGTCTCCAGACCTTGCACAACGAATATTGGTGGAAGATCTTGTCTTGTACATCGCCTTGTTGCACGTGCGTTCCTTGGGCCACCTCCCGCTGGTAAAACCGACGTTCGTCATAAGGACGGCGTGCGGTGGAACAACCATGTTGGCAACTTAGAGTATGTTTCGAAGTCACAGAACTTAGTGATTTCGCACAGAAACAGAAATAACATAATAGTTGCGTCGCCAGGCAATTGTAGACCAGTTGTTGGACGAAAAAACGGGACCGCATCGTGGCAGGTTTTCCCATCCATCCTTGAAGCTTCGAGAAGTCTCGGGCTGAGCAGGGACTGCATTAGGAGATGCTGCCAGCATCGCCAGGATCAGACAGGCGGATACGAGTTCCGGTATGAAAATGCATGCGTGGTTGATTTGCGTTGCGAAATGTGGATGCGAGCTCTCGATCCGAACTCTGATGGCGAGCTGTCAACATGGTCTATCAGTTCTCGTGGACGATTGCGCAATACACGGGGGCATGTATCATGGGGATCGCCCAATCGATCCGGATACAGGACGGTTACTATATCATCAGATGGGGTAAAAAAACAGTTCAAGGTTCATCGACTAGTTGCTCGTAGATTTTTGGGGCGAGGTCCGATCCCTTGGAACATGGAGGTCAACCACAAAGACGGAGATAAAGCTAACAATTGCGTTGAGAATTTGGAGTACGTGACGCGGTCCCAGAACATGACACATGCGTATTCGATGAACCCCAAGCCTCGGAACTCGATGTCACTGTCCAAGCCAGTTTGGGCACGGCCGAAGGTGGACGGGACTTGGAGCTGGTACCCATCCGCCAGAGAGGCGGCAAGATTATTGAACGTTCCCCAGGCCAGCATTTCGAAATGTTGTCACCATAAACTATCCAGCACGAGCGGCTTTGAGTTCATATTTGGAGAGCCTGCGTGCGCAGAATTGCTGGACGGAGAGGAGTGGCGGGAAGTTGTCTTCGACCCTTAGACCATGTCATATGCTGCGCTCGAGGTTCGATGTGTCCCTTTCGCGTGTAGAACGTGGAGGAAAAAAAATATACGTTCGGGCCCAAACGATTTGCCAGAATTTGGCTCCGTCGGTACCTTCAGGTGTACACAATTATGTGGTGTACGCAGGCATTGTGGTGCACAGGGGGTGCTGAAGCAGCAGCTGTGGTGCACACAGGCGCCGTGGTGTGCACAGACACTGTGATGTACAAAGGCGCTGTGGTGCACACCGCTGTTATGCTGTATACAGTCGCCGTGGCGCGCGCACATGCCATTTCTTCAGCAGTTCAGGTGCACAAAGGCATTGTGGTGTACAGGGCCCGCGTTGTGTTCACAGGCACTGTGGGCTTGGACGACGACGACGGAGACGACGACGACGATGACGTAGGCGGCGCGCCTCGCTGGGTGCGCGCGGTGGCCCCCGTTACCGTTACCCCCCCCCGCAAGACGGAGGAACCGTTACCGTTATGTGCTACATTGGAGGGCCATGCCAAGAAACACCCCGCTTACCTCCAGGGTGCCCGGGGTTTGGTTTCGATGGTTTTGCGATAGAAAGCGTTAGTCCTGGATTTCTTCTGGAGGGTTTCTGATGGTCGGGCTCGCACTGTATTCCCCGGGAGGAGGAGGAGGTGGAGGAGGAGGAGGAGGAGGCGGAGGAGGAGGAGGAGGAGGAGGAGGAGGAGGTTTTATCCCCCAGACTTTAAAACAACACGATGTCTCTTCGTGCCTCGAGGCGGGCGCAGCCCTCTGCCGAGGCAAGCGCGCTGCCTCTGCCGAGGCGGGGCGGGCGCCGCGGGCCCGCCCCGCCCGCCGAGAGCAGGCTCAGCCTCTGCCGCGCGCCGCGCGGCGCGCGACGCGCTGCGCCGTCGGCGCCGTCGGCGCGCGGCCTTTTGCGCCTCGACTCGGGTAGCTTCTTCTTCTTCTTTTTATTTCTCGGCGAGGACCATCGAGGATCATCCTGGATCATCGTGGGGAAAGTGCGCGCCCGAGGCCGAAGCATGCACGGGAAAGTGGCGTCCGAGCGGTGGCCACTCAAGCGGGAGCGCGCGGGCCAGGCCAGCTCGCGCAGCGTGGAGAGGCCGGATCCACCCATAGGGGATCGGCAGCAGCCTTCGCGAGGGGGCAGTCGCGAGGGGAGTTGGGAGAGGGGGAGACGGGTCGAGTAGGGGGTCGACCACATCATCGATTCACCCCAAAATCGAATTTCCCGCCGAAGCTGCTGACAAAAACACACGCAGAACGTCCCGCCGATCTACGAACAGTCTGCGCGTGTCTTGCACAGTCGGCGGGAAAACCAATCTTGGAGTAAATCGATCCTGTAGTCGGTCCCCTATTCGAAGGGGGGAGAGAGGGGAAAAGAGGACAGGGAGAAGCAGTGCGACAGTCACGAGCCGAGGCAGGAAGCGAGGCGCAGAACAAGACAGCACGAACCTAGACTCATATTCTTATTTTGTTTCCCGTCCAGTATTCCAGTCCGCCTGCCCAGATCTCTTGCGATCTGCCTCTTTCGGCCGGCGGTATTTTCTCGATCTCGGCCCTCTGGCCCCTCATCGGGCCCTGGACACAGACATGATCGCGTCGTAACAAAAATCATAACGGGAGGTTTTTGGCGGTTTTGGGCCTCGGGGGGCCCTCAGCGAGGGCCTCGGGACTGTCAGAAAACGACTCAGGACGAAAAACCGGTCCCAGGGACAGGATCGGGACTTCCAGGGACCCCGTATTGAAAAATTCAGGACGTCGCATGTTTGGGAAGCCATCAGAGGCATAGGTCTGGGGCGAAAGCCGCCCCTGGGGAAGTGATCGGGACCAGATCGGCGGATATCGGTGGGTCAGTCGGGGCGCTGAGGAAGGAACCCTTTTCGTTGGGGAGGGGCTCGGTGTTCCTTAGCTGTGTTGCAGTTCGCCCTTGGTTTTGCTTAGGGCTTCGATGGGAAATCGAAGTTTAACTTATGGGAAGAAGGGGCCTCGTTCCTCATTTAGGGTTCCTTAGGTCAACGCCCCTATTGTATGTGCCTGCGCTGTCCCGAGCGTCGGTCGGCGGCGCGCCCCGCCGGGGGGAAGCGAGAAGGGGCGGGCCTGCTCGGAAGGCGACGCGGGCTTCTCGGGAGCCCTCCGGCCCTCTGGGACGCCGCCTCTGTCTTCGGGGAGAAGGCCTGCCACAGTTCTCAGAAGGCCGGAGGCCTCCCGAGCCTTCTGGGGCGGCCCGCCCCCTCTGCCTTCCCCCCTCGGCTCGCCGCCGAGTGACGGCCCCGGCGTTGGTTTCTGTTGCCGCGTGGATCGTTCAACCTTGCACGATCGGCGGCTTCTCGATCGCCAGGTCGTTCCACTTTGGGCAATTCTCGGCCACTGGCGGCGCTCGACCTCGACCGCCCGCGGCAGGGTCACTGCCGCGTCGACACGTCACGGACGGCTCGCCGCCAAGTCTGTGCCCATGCCGTTGTTCGACTGCCCACTGATCGCGGAACGCGATGCGGCAGCAGCGTCTTGCGCGCCTGGGTTTGGGCCACCCCGCGTCTCCCGTTGAGCCGCGCACCAACGGTCACTCTTGCCTAGGGGCACTCTTGCGTGTAGCCGAGTGGTCTCCTCCCTCCTCCTCCTCCTCCTCCTCCTCCTCCTTCTCCTCCCTCCTCCTCCTCCTCCTCCTCCGCTTCCACCTCCTCCTCCTCCTCCTCCTCCTCTTCCTCTTTCTCTTCTCTTCTCTTCTCTTCTCTTCTTCCTCCTCCTCCTCCTCCGCCTCCTCCTCCCTTCCCTCCTCCTCCTCCTCCTCCTCCTCCTCCTCCTCCTGTCCTTTGCTATCCCCCTCGGCCGCGGAGCTGCCCCCGGCTTCCAGACCCTGCGGGCGCCAGCCCCCCCCCCCTCGAGAGGCCACCCGTGGCGCTACCCGTCCCGCCTCGGGCAGTGCCAAGGAGGGGTGTTCACCACCAGGGAGGAGGAGGAGGAGGAGGAGGAGGAGGAGGAGGAGGAGGAGGAGGAGGAGGAGGAGGAGAAGGAGGAGAGGAGGAGGAGGAGGAGGAGGAGGAGGAGGAGGGAGGAGGAGGAGGAGGAGGAGGAGGGAGGAGGAGGAGGAGGAGGAGGAGGAGGAGAAAGAGAAAGAGGAGGAGGAGGAGGGGGTGGTGGAGGAGGAGGAGGAGGAGGAGGAGGAGGAGGAGGAGGAGGAGGAGAAGGAGGAGGAGGAGGAGGAGGAGGAGGAGGAGGAGGAGGAGGAGAGGAGGAGGTGGAGGAGCGGGAGGAGGAGCGGGAGGAGGAGGAGGAGGAGGAGGAGGAGGAGGAGGAGGAGGAGGAGGAGGAGGAGGAGGAGGAGGAGGAGGAGGAGGAGGTGTCACCCAGACATGATCGCGTCGTAACAGACATCAGGACGGGAGGTTTTTGGCCGTTTTCGGCATCGGGGAGCTCTCGCCAGGCCTCGGTAATGTCAAGAAACGACTCAGGAGGAAAAACTGGTCCAAGGGAAAGGGTCGAGACTTCTAGGGCCCCCGGATAAACACATAGGAACCTCGCATGTCTGGTGTCACCAGCTCCTCCTGAGTCTTGGCATCGCTCGGGCGTGTGCGCTCTTGCTCTGCGAAGACCATCGAGGAGCGTTGTGGGCCACCTTGCGACAGATACGCGCTCGAAGCAGAAGAATGCACGCGGAATGGACGTCCGAGCGACGGCGAGCCTTGGGGGGTGTCACCAGGACTGGGGGCCACCACCAGGGGGGTCACCCCTGGGGGGGATCGACGCGCGATGAGGTTTGTGGACGCTTGGCGGGCGTCCGCCTCCTTGGGTAAACGGCGCTTCTTCCCAGGGAGTTGGCGACCCCCCCGTGGCACTGCCCCGCCGTCACCGTCCCCCCCCCCCCGCGGCGCGATGCTCGGGCTCCTGCGCTCGGCGGTGGCCGCCGCCCCCATTTCCCCCGGGGGGCGCCCCACGTCCGCGGCCGCGGCCGCGGCCGCCGCCGTCGCTGCCGCCACCGGCGTCGGGGGTGTCGTCGATCGACGTCGCCGTCGGCGTCGCCGCCGGCGTCGGCGTCGTCGCTGCCGCAGCGGTTGTCGTCGGGGACATAGTCGTCGGCGTCGGCGTCGGCGTCGGCGTCGGCGTCGGCGGCGTCGGCGGCGTCGGCGTCGGCGTCGGCGTCGGCGTCGGCGTCGGCGTCGGCGTCGGCGTCGTCGTCGTCGTCGTCGTCGTCGTCGATCGGCGTCGATCGGCGTCGTCGGCGTCGTCGTCGGCGTCGTCGTCGTATGCAGGGGCTGTGGCGCCCCGGGGCCCGGCGGGCGCCTGCTCGCGTGGCGGGCAAGCTTTTGGGGCCGCGCGCCCAGGGCTTGAGGCAGAGGGGGCGGGAGGTCCAGAAGGCTCATCAGCGTGCTGCTCTGATACGTCCGTGTTGAAACGCAGCACGTGCCGTGTTCAGGACGTCCGAGTTGAGCACGCTGCGTGTTGCCTCGGCACGTGCTGACCCACGTTTTGGCGGCCGTATCTTCGGTTGCAAATCATGGGAGCCTTGTGTACCCTGATAATTTCCGTCTTTAGCGTCGATTCGCGTCCATTAGCGTCTGGGCGTCGATGAAGTAGCGCCGATTTAGCGTCGGTTAGCGTCGATTTAGCGTCGATTTGGCGTCGATCAGCGTCGACTCGTGCTGAGCTCCGTGTCAACAGGAATCGGGTTGCGTGCTGCGTATCGGGGCAGCGAAGCTCAGACGGCATCTGGCCCTCTGCGAAGCTTGTTAGGCCTTCTCCGAACCCCCGCCGCCTTCTCTCGGCGTCACCCTAACATACTAATACTATGAGTGCGCCGCGCCGCCAGGGGCGACGCGCGCACCGAGAAATCTTGTAGTATATGCGTCGCGGCGGGCGCTTCATGGCCACACCGCTCGGGAAACGATATACTACAAGATGGGTGTGCAAACTATGTTCGGGTCGGACGCTCGCCTACAAGGAGGACATCTAGTACTAGTATGTCTTTGTGCGTCATACACTACAATATTGGTATACCATATGTTCGGGTCGGACGTGCGCCTCCGAGGCGAGCATCTAGTACTGGTATGTCTTTGTACGTCCCATTCTAGGCCTTCTCCGAAGACTCGCCGCTTTCTC